TCCTGGGGAGCCCGTCCCCAATGCTGACCGTCAGGGTTTTGCCTCCAGCTTTGAGGGTGGCCACGTCACCCTGTCCTCTGATGAAGGTGACATTGCGGGTGCCACCACCGCCCCAGCCCTCCTTCTTCACCCGAAACAGTAGTCTAGGGGAGAGAGAGGCCATGAGGCCACGGTGACAGGACCCTGTCCTGCTTTGTCACCTCTCCTGGCCTCCATCCTTACGTGTCCTTGAAGGAGAGGCGCAGCTTGGTGCGGGTGAGCTCCTCGTAGCGTTTGCACAGCAGGCTGATCAGCTCCGTCTTGAAGATGGACTCCAAGAAATTGTCGGTGTCGTTCTCGTGGAGGATGAAGAAATCATCCTGCCTGGTGCTGGGGGAGCAAGCCCAGTATGGGGGTATCAGTGGGGGGTGGGTGAGGTGGGTGCCAGCTGAAGCTGGGAGCCCTGCTGGGTTTGGGTCCACCCCAGATAAATTTGGAGGGTGATTTAGCTGGAAACCTCCTTGGTCTCCAAAGCCTCATCTGCAAAACTCATTGTGGTGAGCCCCATGCCCTGCTGCCTCCATGGGTGAGGGGCTGGGGGCTGGAGCAGGGAGAGGCTGGTGGAGCTGATGGGTGAAGCCTGACTGTGGTGACCTCCCATGCAGAGCCCGGGCTAAGGGACACACCTCAGCGAGACGCCGCTCACCGCCTGGAGCTCCACCTTCTTCTTGAGCACCTCCTTGATCTGCCCCTTCTCAGGACCTTTCTTTACCTTCTCCCGCCCGATCACGTAGAAGTACTTGGGGGTGAGGATGAAATCCCGCTTGATGGGCTGGGAAAGGGGAGAAGCAGGGGGTGAAGGGTGTTTTTAGGGGGTCACAAACCCCACACATACATTCCACCCAAGAACAGCCACCCTGAGCCACAGCTTGGCCTGTCCCAAGCCCCAGGTGGGTCCATGTACCTTGAACCTCCGGTCATACTTAATGATGGAGTCGGCAAAGTCGATCCGCTCCCGCTTGGCCAGGAACTGGCGCAGCTCTGGCCGCTCCTCCATGCCCAAGTAATCACCCACAAAATTCCTGTTGATGCTGTTCCTCCTCCGCTCTTTGAAGTTGTAGAGGATGTTGGAGGCTGTGAAGGATCCCAAAGTGATGCTGGTCAGATGGGGCTCTGTGCTGGTGGCTCAGCTTTTGGCTCCTGCCTGGCTGGTGCCTGCCCTCCCAAACCAGCTTCAGGAGATGTCAGATGGATCATGGGGTTTGCTTTATGCCATGGGAGGAATCCAAGCTGCTTTGAGCTTGGCTGGATTCAAAACCCATTCATTGCCTTCAAATAACTTGTGCTGTGGGAGGGACCCAGCTGCTTCCTGGGTTTTCTCCTTGACTTTTCCCCACATGCTTGGGAGGGTGGAAAAACACCGGGGAAAGGGTCAGATGGTGACCACTGGCCCTTCACATCCCTCTGCAAACACTGATTCCCACCCACTCCTCTCTGTCCCTTTGCCGGCAATGAAATGCAGAGTGGGACAGTGTGAGGGTTCCTGCCCTGCAGCCCCTCCCAGGAGCAAGAAATCACAGAATCCCAGACTGGTTTGGGTGGGAAGGGACCTTAAAGCTCATCCAGTCCCAACCCCCCTGCCAGCAGCAGGGACACCTTCCACTAGACCAGGTTGCTCAAAGCCTCATCCAACCTGGCCGAGAACACTTCCAGGGAGGAGCAGCCACAGCTTCTCTGGCCAACCTGGGACACTGTCTCACCACCCTCACACCAAAGAATTTCTTCCTCACATATCAGCTCCATCTCCCCCCTGCCACTTTCAAGCCATCACCCCTTGTTCTGTCACTCCCTGCCCTTGGCCAAAGTCCCTCCCCAGCCTTCCTGGAGCCCCTTCAGGTACTGGGAGGCCACTAGAAGGTCTCCCCAAAGTCTTCTTTTCTAACCTGTGTCCTCCTTTAAAATGTAGGAAAGGACCCCGGACACGTCATGGTTGGGTCCCTCCTCACCCACTCGTTAGTGCCGCAGTGAGGAGCTGGGCTATCGCTCTGGTAGCTGGGCTGTGCCCAACGAAGGGCACTTTTAAGAGGTGTTGGAGTGCCAACATCCCCATCCTTGCCCGGCCTTACCCTCCTCTCGCATCTGCTCGTACTTCCGGATGGCGACGTGCCGGCGCCAGGCCTTCTGGATCACCCGTGCAAAGCCATCGAATTTCCTCTCCCGCATCTCTTCAAGGAGGAAGAGCTAGGAGGGACACGAGGTGCTGAGCATGGCTGGTCAGGGGGGCCACCAAGCCCCAGCTGTATGGCTTCTCCTGCACATCGGCATCCCAAACCCTCCCCAGCGTTGCGCAAAGTGATGCCCAGTTCTGTATTGGGGTGAGGGGCAGAGGACCTACCGATTCCGGGTTCTTGACAAACACTTTGCTCCGACCCATCTGATACTGATCTGGGTCCATGTTGACCGAGCGCAGCAAGTGCTGCACCCCTTGTCGCTCATCCCCACGCCAGGACGGCCACGTCTCAGGGGTGAGGATGGCGTAGCTGCCAGGGAGAGAGAGGGGATGTTACAGCCAGGCAATGGGGTCCCACCATCCCACCATCCTGGTGGTCACTCACCGTTGTAGGAATTTGTGGAAGACACGGCGATAGGCGAATCCTGCCCGGCGCACACGGATGTTCTCCTTCAGCCCCAGATATTCGACTTGGTGCTTCACCCTGGAGAACCGGGAGGGACACGCTTGGTGTGGGATGGCAGGGTGGTGGGGGGACCTGCTTGGACCCTTCAGCCACTGCTTTGCATGGGGACACCCATGGCCACGCATGTGTGAGAGCTTCTTGGGGCTCAGATGGTGCCTCTGGGTGATGCCCATAGAGGAGGACGAGTGTCCCTGCACCCTCCTCAGCACCCACCTCATGCCCCCCTGGCTCTGTGGGACCACCCAGGGGTGCAGTTTTTGGAGGAAAGCTGGTCCTGGTGATATCTCCATGGCCAGGTCCTGTCCCCCAGGCTCTGTGGGTTCCCTGATACATCCTGAGGGGCCTCTGTTACCTGCTCTCCTCCCAGTCCCGGGGTTTCTTGGTCTCGTTGGGTTTGATGCAGCGGATGTAGTGTGGTGTGCACTTCATTAGCGTGTTCACCAGGTCGTTGGCCTGTTTCTGGTGCAAGGATCGACCTCTGGAGCATTAAAGGTGTTGGTGGAAGCCCATGGCCCTGCTGCTGCCCTAGAGGCAGCTGCTGTCCTGCAGCCTCCAGGACGTACCTTGATTTTGGAGCCTGCGGTGGTCGGTCGTCCCTTTTTGTCAGAATCAAGTTTTTCTGGGAAAAGCATCCGGATGAAAGCGCTGAAAGGCAGGTGACAGTCCCCAGGTGAGAGCCGCCAGCCTCCCCAAGCTCAGCTCACACTGAGCTGGAACCAGCTCCAGCTCTGCTTTCTGCTGCTGGGACATCCTACACCATGGCCAAGCCCATCCCCAGGCTGAGCAGGATGGGTGCTGGGGGGTGAGGACCCCTCACCCAGCCCTCAGCCCCTGGGTGCTGCTGTGTTCAGTGGTGGGGGGGATGCTGCTGGTGCCCACGGGGTGATGCAGGATGCTGAGCACCCTGAGCCATGGCTCCAGCAGAGGCAGGGCCCGCAAAGATCTGCCTGTTGAGGAATTCACCCTCTGCCCCAGCCCTTTTGGGGTGGTCCCAGGACCCCAGGGCTGGCAGGACTCACTATTCGCTGCTCTGCATGAGCTCAATCAAGTCGGTGAAGAGCACGTCCCGGTTGCGCTCGCAGAAGCCGTTCACGTCGTAGGAGACCTTGGGGGCAGGAGGGGAGCTCAGCCCCGTGCCGATGGGGCCATGGGGTGTGGGGTGATGATGTGGGGTGCAGGATGTGGGGTGCTGTACCTTGCCTGCATAGTGGTGGATGACGAAGCCTGAGTTCCAGCTGTTGAAGTGCTCGTGGGTCCCCACGGCCGCTTGCAGCTTCTGCAGCAGGGTCTGGTCTGCTCCCTCGCCGGTGGCATGCATGGTGGCACAGACATCATCCAGGACACTCATGATCCCAGGGGGGTTCTGGGAGAAGGAGAGTGAAACTGTGGGTGGCCAAAGACCTGCAGATGGGGCTGATCCTGGACCTGGCTGTGCTCAAGTGCCCTGCATGGCTCAAAGCTGCTTCATGCTCAACAACAGCTCAGGTCAAGGACATTGAGCTGCTGCTCTGCCAAAGATGCTCCACAGCAGGACCAGCATCTGCCACCCATCCTCAACAGCACCCCCCCACCGCCCTGGCTGCCTCAGCGCCCCGAGAGGAGGGGACCCCACTCACCAGCTTGTTCTCTATCAGGTCACACACCACCTTGTTGTTGAAGTACTGGATCTGCGTCCACTTGATCCCCTCCTGCACGTATTCCTCCTGGGAAAGCACATGGAGAACTAGATGGGCCCCCGACTCGTGGGATATGATGGCAGAGGTGCAGGGTGCAGGAATTGGGGTGCTGGTGCAGCTCCCCCTAACCCAGCCCGCCCCCGTACCTGCTCTGCCTTCAGGGTCAGCTCTATGAAGATCTGCTGCAGCTTCTCGTTCACAAAGTTAATGCAGAATTGCTCAAAGCCATTTTTCTGCAAAGGGACGAAAGATGAAAGAGAAGATCACAGAGAATCATTCAGGTTGGAAAAGACCTCTAAGATCATCCAGTCCAACTGTCAACTCATCACCA